TGCCAGGCTGGGGGGCAAAAGGCGACTTCGGTTCCCGCGGCTTAACGCCTCCTCCGGCCGCTCAACGCGAACACGAACCGAGCACACGCTCCTCGAAACCTCAGCGCCTCCACTCCCCGCCTTACAGCTGACGCGGGGCCTTCTACCGCTTCCAAACACGCGGTTGTTAAAAATCATCTGGTTAAAAATTACAGTGAAGTGCCCCCCGCTTTACTGCTGAGTTCAAGTGCAAGGCTGGAAGACGGAAAGTGGAAACGCAGTTCATAGTTGAAAAGATGGAAAGTTCAAACACCGCTGAAACACATCCAAGTAAAATCAGAGCTCACCTTGAGCATGGCACCGCTTACAGAAAGGCCTCAGGCTAAAGCAGCCAAGTGACACCCTACATTTTTTAATCGAGGCTATAAACCCTGCTGAATGTCCACTGATAAGCCACAAACTAAGGCGTCTTTATGATTTTTTATTAATAAATACCTTAACAGCACCAATGATACTTAAACATAATCTGCAATGCTGCGCACAGCGGCTGCGAGTAGGTATGTCTGTATTTTCATGTACAGCTCATCATTCTGTCCTTTCGTGCTTGCTTGTAAACAAAGTAATCTCTTCCATACTCAAACACCTTTCATAAAATTGATCAAATCAGTGTGAAATAAGAGGAAAATGCTAATTTTAATCTCTTTTGGTTTTAAGGTGACTCAGGAAGTGTATAGGAGTGCTACAATTTAAAACCAGATCGCTGTGGTTCCTTTTAAAGGGTCTTCTCTTTGCATATAGACGTGCACCCATGTGTTAAAAACAAGACTTTTGGCCACCTTAAAATTTCCATGTGTCTGAAAGTATCTTAGCATTGACAGTTTGACAACAAAAACTGGAAAAAAGTGTATTCCTATACATCAGAGTTCTGTACATTAATAAGCATTTATACAAATATAATCCACCAAATATTGGCTTCTACATACAGTTCTGAAATATGGTGATTCAATTGTATTACCTAACCTTCAACAGTGCTAGCACTAACAGGAACATTTTGGGTTGCTTTAACACCCACAGAGTATGGTTTTTTACAAGGTGGGTACAGATGTCTCTCACTGTATACGCGGTTTACTTATGAATAAATTAAGTGGTAAAGTGAAGCTTGAACAGCATCGTCTGTGGTGTGGTAACATCAGCAACTGCAAGCTCCTGGCCATCCACAAGCCCCAGTTCTGAAACAGAAAGAAAAGTTCAAATACAGCAAACCCATGTGGTTTGTCTTTTTTTTAAATTAAAACCAAAAAAAAGTTATGAATGCCATTCCCACAAACCCTAAGTACAATGAAATAAAGCTGCAAACAGCTCACTAGCTAAACTAATATTCATCTAATTCAACCAGGAAACTAACAGACCTTGTCACAAAATATATGAAACTATTAAGTACGTTCAGTCCACATCAGTTACCAGCTTGCTCTGTCGCAATGTTTTTCTCTGCATCTGCCCACCCTTCACATTTAAGCAATTCAGAGCTCATCCCTGAGCAACCTGAGAAAGGTAGATCGCACGTAAAAGGATAATGAAGCACATTCTGCCGCATACTGCGAAATAAAGCCAAACGTGCCGTACAGAGGGATGCAACTGATTGACCCTCTGTTTAGAGGAGTAGCTTGAAAATCTACACCTGACAACTGCATGATACCTTTTAGTGTCTTGGAAAGATTTGGCCTTGTTCGTTCTTCAATTGAAGCTACTGTCTGCAAAAAAAAAAAACACAAAGGAAAAAAAAAACCCAAAACATTTCCTTTCAAATTCATGAAAGTAAATTTTAATAAATTAAGATTATTAAAGACAATTACATACGTTCAGATTACCTGTAAATAAAGTGTTTTATTTCCCCCATACATAGTTGCTGTGATTGCAGGAGATTTCATTTGCCTATAAAACATTTATAAAAAAAAACCCAAACAATCAGGTAAAAATACATTTAGAAACTACCTAAACTACCAAAAATTATCAAGTAAGTCAGAATAGCTGCACACTTACAATGAAGCGTTATTTGTCAAGTAATCCAAGATCTCCTGTAATTTAGCTGATGGGGAAATCTCTATGTTTTGGGGAAGTTGGCTGCAGGCTGGACAGTTCTCCTACAACAAAGCAGCACAGGAATGCACATTATGTTAAATATGATTTTTAAAAATACTGCTAATAAAGTCTCTAAACCATTTGCATGTGTGGGTTTTTTTTTTTACAGTTTTAGCTCTAGAAATATTAATACTGTTGCAAATGTTAATGACAAAACCCAGTTCCTCATGAAGTCTGTCACTGTTCGACTGGCTCCCAACAGCAGCTAAGAATTTATGAACTACAAATTTCATCCGACAAAATTTAATACCACAGACTTTCAAATCAATTATTGTAATAACCTCTTTTTGAGAAGATTTGCTTATGAGTCTTCTTAAGATCGCACATCCTATTTTGTAAACCACGTTTCCTGTATTACAGGGGAAATCTTCAGGATTCACTTTCAAAAAAGTCAAGTACTGTTTTCCCCTGCAGGTAGCATAGCAGAAACAGTTGAGATACCAATGTTGCACCAGCAGACACCACAGGAATAGGTGTCTGAAGAATCTCCCTATACCAGAAGTTACTTTTCCAAACATTAAGAAACTTTGGCTAAACAGGCAACAACTAAATATGCCATTACATGTACTATGCAAGTTTTTGTTAAACTGATGGGTAGAGAAGAAAAGGTTTCATTACCAGGACATCAAATTAAACATCCGTTGAGCTGGAGGTAAACAGTCCTGCTACTCTACAGGAACAGACCGCCACTGTCATCTCTATTAGACCCCAAAACCACGGAAGTTAAAAAAATTCCTACATGCTAAAAACAATACTCTGGAGAAATAGCAGACTAGTAACATCGTAGTTTCTGCTTTTAAAACTTCAGAAATACTATTCCTCAGTGCTAGGGGCCAAGAGATTCAATATTAGGGTTCAGAAATACATACAAACTGCCTAAGTTCAATAAAAATCAAGGAAACAACCCTGCAAGCCTTTAATGGTACTAACCTTTCTTTCAGCTTCAAATGTGTATGTGTATAATCCATCCGCATCATTAAACACCAAGTAGTTGTTAAGAGGAATGTATGCACTATAATGACAAATATATTAGTGTTAATACATGGTATTATGTTGGAAATCATGGAAGTTATTAAAAAGAAATGAAATACCTTGTGGCTATTTTAAAAACTTCAGTGGCGCAAACAGCTGCAATGAGAAAAAAATAAATTTCTTCACTTTCTGCTCTACCTCAGAACATGCAGACATTAGTGCACAGAGTTGTACCAAAGAAGGAGTGACACAAAAAAAGTAGTATAACAATTTGTAAAGAGAAAAATAAACATCTGAAGGTAGCTGGTAGTTCTCTGCATTAACACCACAGATTCGACACTAATCTGAGACTGTATTAAGCTTATATGCCATGTTTTCCAATTCTTTTTTTTCCCAGTCTCGAATGCTTTTGCTCACTCCCACGGTCATACATGAGCTTAAAATTTATACAGTCACATGTAGTTTCTCTACAGAAAACAGAAATGAGACTGCAAGAATAAATCAGACCCATTTAAAAATTACTATTATCCTCCCACAGTTCTCGCTTCCAAACTGTTTCCTTACAAAACTCTAAAGCAGAAGTGAAATGAGTTCTTTTAGCATACCTGCAATTACTGCATTTGTAGAAGCTACTGCTGGAATAATTCGTTTAACCACTCCTGTAAAAACAAAACATATAGCTTTGTCTTTTCCAAAGACCACTTTCAGCCAGAATAATTACAGAAGGGTGTACCCAAAGGTACTTTAAACTTCCCAGGAATTTCTGTAACAATAAGGTATAATGGCATGCTGCTCAAGTACTTTGGCATTATTTTATTTTAGGAATGGATCAAGCATGTTGAGCAAAAGAAGAGAACTAGTGAACGAATTCTAAAAACAAGTATTCTGTATTTAGAACTGAAAATTAATTTAAAACTCAGTTCCATTACTGTTTAACTGGAGAAACGCATAAAGGAAAAATATTTGGGTTTGGTATTCCTTCTGCAAGAACAGGCTTGCCAAACTGGATTGGCATCTTCATCCAACTCTTCTTACTGAGCCCATCCAGTCAAACAGCATACACCAACATAAAGCAAAATTTCCTACACATACAAGTTCGTACATCAGGAACAAGGAGGTTCACTCTTTTTTTCAGGCCTGCCAAAAAGCCAGAAAATTCCTAAGCAATCTGAGGTTCCTCTGGCTTCTCATTATTGACTTATATCCCTTCATACCTGAAAAAACATGCATAAGACTTTTACCTTTGCCTTCTTTCTGCTATGTACTTTATAATGAAGCCATCTTCAAATGCTGAAAACTATGCAGCCATTTGCATGTACATAATTATATTTCATAACTGGAGTTCACATTTATCTGTACCAAAGAAATACTACTAGAGAAGCCAGTAGCAACTGCTGTAAAGAAAAAGACTGTCTGCAATACACTAGGTGGAATCTGAGGAAGATACACAAGGAATCAGTTCTCGCTTTTTTTGACAGAAAGGCACACACTGAGGTTCAAGCGTGGAGTTTCAAGCCCAGCATTTTGAACACATTCTCAGTACTACAAGTCAATAAACAGAAGTTACCACAAATTCTGGAGAATCTGTATGAGATTCTCCACTTCTTTTCTATTAGGTTAGTGTTTAAAACGCTGATTAAACGAGCGGCAGCATTCTGCACTTGCATGTGAACAGATGCATACACAGCAGTAAAGAACAGATGCTATAGTCTTAACCAGCCTAAACTGGCATAAAGTGTTGCTGTTGCCAAAAGAGGCAATCGCGTTCTTTTGTTCCTACACTTTGACCCAGCAAAAGCGGTCACAGTGTAATGTAAACTGTGGAGCTGCTCCAGGTTAAAAATAAAATGGCAAAAAGAACGTTCGGTTTTGTCCCAGGTAAGTTCCTCTGATTCATCACGAATGCCTGAACATCCGATTCATCATAAAAATATTTGTGCTGGCACAGGAAATGAGCTGCTTGTTTCTGTTTTAAGATGTTAAGGGAGAAAAGAACTATTTCTTTCTCAGCAGAGCTGCCAGCTTAGTCATAACAAATACAAAGAATGCCAATCCAGCCTAACTGCAAATGCCAAACTTAGTGAAATGCCATACCCTTACCTTGGGTGAGTCTGTATGTAACACCTTTAATACTAAATTGTGATGCTCTTTCTAAAGACTTCTGGTAAATCCACTGTATATGTTCAGGGTCATCTCCATCCAACGCAACACCTTCTACAGCAAAGTTAAGAATTTACAGAGATGTTACAGTTATAAGAGTTCTTCAGAATACAGCATTCTTTTTGTCTAAAAAAAAAAACCCCTTTCTTTTACTTTGGGTTAAAATTAATACCCCATTAAGCTATTAGAACTTGACACTTTAATCAAAATATCATTTTTACAAACATTGTAAGTTCTAACACCATCTACAGACAAACTATCTTAACTTCACAGATTTGTAGAGCTGTTACAGGTTACATTTTGAGTCAGGAAAGACACTGTGCAGTATGAAACACATGAACAAATATGGAACTGGAGAGAGAGTCTGAAGAGAAACATCCATCGCCAGCTCAAAGGAGGCTCAGATTCAATGCAACAAAGAGCCACATAAGGTTAAGAGGTAGGATTATTTTATTAAACATAGCTGTGTATACCTAACTCAGAACAAATTAGTTAAAAGGAGAAATGTCAGCTTAGCACCCATGCAATATACTAATTACCTCCAAAAGGTTGTTCCTTTGGCCACTGCAATATCCTGACATACTCAATACAATGCTCTGGTAGTCTGGGCATAGATGCAATAGTACACATGGGAAAATTGACCTGGTGTGGGCAGGGAAAAAAACCAGAGGAAAGCATGTAATGCATTACGTATAGTACTAGGAAAAGAAACAAGCAAGTCAGAGGAATACAAAAAAAGGAAATATCACTGATTGCAATTACCTGTGGTGGATAAAGCTCGAGCGTGCACTCAACACATGCTGTCATACCAGGAATAATCACACGAACATTCCCTTTAAAACCTTCTGTCCCTCCATCTATTAAAGGTATGATGGAACTTGGATCCAGTACACCATCTTCATAATGTAAAAATGACATCTGACAAATAAAGGGGAAGGGCGTTGTTGGTTTTTATTTGCTTTGGTTTGTTCTGTGTTTTTTTTAAACAAGTTACAGGAAGAAAAAAAAAATCCTAAAAATGTTATTCCTAATGGCACACCACGAGACTGAATGCTTAATACACAGTTTATTTTAAGGGTACTTAGTGTATAAAACACTGATTATTTGTCAGTGTGCAGGACTTCATCTACCACCTTCACCCTCCATCTCCTCCTCCCCTTACCCCCCAATAAATGCTATTATTTCCTTCCAGTATAACGGAACAAATGGTTCATTTGAAGGATTTGGGGCTTTGATTCTTGATTTGTTGGTTTGGGTTTCTTTTTTTTAAATACCGGTAAATACTCAAGATCATTGTTTTATAAACAAAAAACTACCTAGTTCAACAACCACCTTCCTACTACTTTGTAGCAGCAGGGCTCCAAAAGATGACATTTACAAGTTGCAGTACGATATAAGTACTGTTTCGCTAATGAAAAAAACCAGTTCACAATGGGAGCATCCAGAGAGGCCGTGGAACTTCCCTTCTTACGATTTTCAAAAGCTGACTGCACAAGGCCACAAACAATGTAATCTAACTTTGAAATTACCCCTGTAGGGCACTGCACAAAAGTTGGCTAACACTCCTCAAGAAAAAGGCAGGTAAGAGAGCATGCATTTTATCCTGTGCACAAAAAGAAAAAAGAAAACAGAAATAGATACAGAAATCTGTGAGTTTCAACAGCCCTCATTTCATTTTAATAACACATTCTACACAAATCTGTTCAATTTTAGTTATCTATACTCAAGCAATAACCAGGCTTTAAAAAGACTGAAGACTTTACCAGCATGCCATTTATCCATCTTCTTGCAATTATAGAGTCCAGCCCACAAACAATAATATGAAACTCTAGGGGGAAAAAAATGTTATTTAAAGTCTGTACTAATACATACTTCTTAAGGCAAGCAAAGTATTCTGTCCATAACAGTACAGAGGAACTGACTGTAGTTTAGCCATCTTCCCTAGATTACCTATATGACAGATGCATTTAAGTTTTGTCTATTTGTTACTTCTACTTCCAGTATACTGTAGAAGACCAAACCAATTAACAATCTAACTACCAGGAAAAGCAGCAAGCAGCAACAACTGCAAAGTTCCCCTACAGCACCAGCGGGTGTTTGGCAGGCAAAGAAATACCACTTACGTCGATAGAAGCTTTCATCCATGTCTTGAATCTTTTTAAAATATCTGATTGTAGGCCCAGTAAAGGAATGTATTTATAAAGTAGGTAAGTTTTCTGTTTTCTATTTGCCAACCTAAAGCCAAAACATCGTCTAATTTGTTACTATAATTTTATATGACACAAAAACTAAGTGATTGAAAGATTCAAAATTCCCACAGCTGAAGTTGTAGCACCTGACAAAACAAGAGGCACAATGTAATTAGTCACACACAGGAGAAAGCTCAGCGGGCAAACTATTTAGGAAGCTCAAAACACATGCTCTCACCAAGTCCTGTGTCAGTAAATGCTGCTCCATGTTTGTAAACCAATGTCTCCTACCAGTACTGAAAACACTCTAGTGAATAAACCTGTATTTCTAATATCTCAGTGAAAATCATAATGTTGCATTTCAATAAAAAGACTCAGTGGCAACAGACAAAATAGTTTCTTAAAGCTTAGCCTTCTGTCCCCATGCATATTTCTTGTATGCTAATGTCACTGAGAAAGAATCCTCAATCACCAGCTGAATGAATCTGTCCTTTATGGTACAAAAAAGAGAGGATGGCAGCAAAATACTTTAGATAGCCTTACCACCTACAGAGTTTTCTAGGATTTTTGAAGCCTTCAGGGCTACTACTTCTCTGTAAAAGGATACGCTACAACAGCACAGTTGGGAATGCGGCTGTTGAGGAATTCTGCTGCAACTTCTGCTTTTGGTCGCCCAACATCCTTTGGTCTGGGAAAAAACCCAAGCAATTTCAAATGCATCATTTTAGTAGATTCAGTCTTTCCAGGCTCTACGCATTGCAGTACTGAATTGACTAATTGTTACTGTAGGACAATTTATTGATACAGATAATATTAAGGCATCCCTGTAAAGCATCAGATACAAAAGCCCCAGGGTTATCCAAGGGTGTCCATGTAACTACAGCTATCGATACCAAAAAAAAAAATCCAACAATTTTTCATTTTACTTGGAAGAAAAGGGTACCAGAAAAACCAGTATCTCAATGTGTGCATTATTCTTTGGTGTCACCTTTTCCATTAGTCATTAGCTGTATTTGAATGGTAAGGAATCTATGTTAATTTTCTTCAAGCTCAAACTATGACACCACAGATCTCAAAACAAGAAGGAATCACATGCAACATTTAGTTAGCTAGGAGTACTATTATGATATGAAAGTTCAGTAATCTTTAATGACATCTTGTTCAACCAAAATAATGATCATGGTCACGTGTTTTGTTTAGGTACATTTAGAAAAAACAAAAGTCGAATCGTGAAAATATCACTTACCGAAACAGAAATTGTCGGTTAAGATTAGAAACATCTATAGTATCCATGTCAATAACATGGATCTGTCTAAAGCCAGACAGTGCCTGTGAAAAGAGATAGTCAATTTCATTTAACAGGAAATTAAACGCTTACAGTGCTCCAAAATTCATTCCACATGCCAAAAAAACAACCTTTGGAGGAACAAACACATTTGCTCTTCATTCCCTGGGCAGACAGGAATATGGCTGATCTTTGTTAAAAGAATGTTCTCTGTTGGGTTGCTAATGCTGATATTCAGACATATGGAATTAGGAATAGAAAAACAAAGCTTAATTCCTCTAAAATTTTAAGTTTTTGAATATTCACCATTTTCACAGTTGGCATAAATCCACCCTCAAATCACAGTTCAAAATAAGCCAGCATTCCTCCCTGCATTCAATGTTGGAGCAGAATGCAAACACAGCAAGTCACCTCGCTATCCTAGAACACGCTGAACCTCTGACAGAAGTTCTGCCTGATCTCTATTTGCATGCAGGCCATCACTAGATTTGGCAAATAACTTTAAAGTAAAATTGTATTGCAGGTCTGATCTGAAAAAGTAATAACATGTCACACACAAAGAAGCAATGTGAATTGTGGCTAAAGGGAAATAAATGCTGTAAAACACTGGTTTTAAAGAAAGGAAGTGTGTTGTGATGTTCTGAAGTGATCCCCAAAAAAATTTGAGTCCTGTCCCGTAGTTTTTTCCCTTTAAGACTCAATCTTATTATATATAAATTCATCAGCACTAAATTCCCAAAGAAAACTGCCTTGGAGCTGTCATAGTCTCTTCAAGTAAAATCCTGCTTAAGCATTGCAGTAACAAACCAGCAACCAGAACAAGAGAATACACAAGTGCTGGAACTGTAAAACCCCTAAGTTAATAGATCTGGAATGCCTGGTTTTAAATGAGGCTACTGATTTATCAAGCACCTCAAGCTTGGAGGTAAGCTGTGGAAATACTGAAATAGCAGTGCATAAATTCTGTAGTAAAGTACACTAATGCATAAGGGTCGGTATAAATTAAGGACAAAAGTTATTTCATAATAAGTTATATCAATCCACACATTTTCCATGGAATCCGTAAGGACAGAAATTCCTACTATTAAATAGAAGCATGGAAAAGTACAGTATTAGTTTAAACTACCAAACTCAAAAAGGGTGCTAACAGTGATACCCTACGATAAATACAAGTATCTGTGAGGATTAAAACCACATTAATAGGATTATTAAATCCATACACATTTATTGGCTAACTGTCTGACCACACATAATCCTGTGACTGCATTTTAAACACTGAAAAATTGCTTTTCAGAACACGTAGTGAGAGAATCCATTATAAACTAACACCATTATCAAGACAGCTACAGAATACCTTCTGGTAATCTGTACACCAGGGAAGTACTGTCATATTCCTTCCCTGTTCTTACATCACTGCCTATTCCTCCTTAGCCATTTCCATACAGAAATTTCCATGCACGTGCTGGTCTGACTCAATAACGCTGCCACTACATTGGCTGAATTCAGCAACACAGATGCAACTCGGAGGGAGCGCTCAGGCTCTGCAGACAACCTCCAATCTACTGAACTTGAGGAACTGGAAAATCCAAGAGCCACTGCTCGGGAAGGCTAAACGGATTCCACGGACATGAAGGTCACCATAGACACAGTAAGTCCTGCTCTACTAATTTCATTATGAAAGCGCGTAAATAATTCCAGCAATTCTAGCCTCACTTTGAATTAATCCAAAGATGTAAAATAAACTGAAATTAAATTCAACCTTGACTCTTAATACTAAACTTTGTACTAGCTGCTCATGGCAGTTTAAAGCATTGCTCTTCATCTGAAAAGACACATTTCGGCTACTGTATTCCAACCAATGCTTCCTTGTATCATTATGAGCATGATTTGTTCTTAGTTTACTTCATTTCCCTAGATCCAGTAATTAGGGAAAATTACCAACATTAGACCATATCTAAGGCTGCAGGTGAACTTTAGTCTACACTTCATAAACAGCACCATGTTGTCCCACGTGAGAAGCTTTAAGATAGCTAAATAAATAACACGCAACACACTAGACTACCACCTTTCAAGCTTACTAAGAAAGTGCAGTCTTCAAGTTTATTGTCTGTATCATCACGTATTTTATACATTTTAATTAGAACATAGAAATTTAGCAGCTATATACAATCAAAAATGCCAAATTAGCAAAGCAGAAAAGATAATTTCCTCAAGGAAAAAAAAGGAAGATTCTAAGGATTCTAAGCAGCAAAGGGTAAAAACTGCGTAATTACCAGGTTTTTCAGGAGTTCGCATCCTAATCCTCCTGCTCCAATAACTAGTACTTTACATGTGTTTAACAAAAACTCAAGAGCCTGTGGAAAATATAAAAAAAAAATTAATACACTAAATAGGAAAAAGTATAATTTTTCCTTTGCTTCATAATCCTTAAAAATGCATTATTGTAAATTTTCAGTGCCTAGTTAAGTTTCACATAAAACAAGTTAGATCAATAACACAGTTTGTGCTTGCAGGAGCAATTACATACCAGACTTTAATCAGTTGCTGAGTTCATGCAGTTCCTATATCCCAACTTACAGAAAAGCAAAACCATTTTCATATCACTATTCTCTTTATATTAACTATGTAACTGCTTTCTGTGAACTGTTCTACTAATTCTACAGCCTCAAACTAGTAAATAATGGAACAGTACATTAAAAAGGTAAGAGCAAAATACATGCAACTGTAAGCTCTGAGACCAAATGTACCAAAAAAGGAAAACAGAAGAAATAATTAAGTCTAAATTTTGCTTTTCCCTACTAAACATCTTTCCCAATTCTCTAAGTACTCATATTAACCTTAATTCCTTCTTTAAGAACAAGAAATTCCTTACTGTATTTAATTACTTAAAAATAGAGAGACAAATGCTGCTATTTTTCACGTGGAACTCAAAGACAGAGCATAATTCCTATGTTGTTATACATTTATATATATGATGACAGCGAGCTTGTCGTTTACAGTGCACAATTTAGAAATACAAGCTTATAAAAAGAATACAGTATGTTCCAGCAACATAAGGTTCAATTGATTAAAATATAAGCTTTTCATGCAGTTTTAGTATTCATATACTGCTGGCGGTCAATTCATGAAACTGTTTACATTAGTTTGCAACACACGCTACAAATTTTTTATTTAAAGTAAGCGTTTCTCACTTGAGTGCCTGGCTCGAAATCAGGATGTGTGAATGGTCCAGATCGCTCGAGGAACTTCTTTACATGGTTCCAGCGACCTTCCCAGTCTCCAGTGTCCCCACACCCACCATCAACAGCCATTCTGCACAGAACACAGTAAATTCAGCTGCAAAACCATAGACGAAAAAGCCACACCTCTAAAATGTACTCTTTCCATTATCTTAAAAATACCTAAATTATTGACCATTCATACAAATATATTTGCATATTCTCTATGTAAGTTATGTGCATGGACATTTGCATGAGTGGGGTTTATTTGTGGAACTAGAAAGCAATAATATAAATATGTATAGAGGGGAAAAAACACAGACATTTCAATACATCCCACTGATTTAGCTGCTACTAGGAAAAGTTGTCCTGAAGTGAAAAAAGGGTCTGGTCTTTTTACTTTTATTTCCCTCAGATTTAAAAAGGACACAGAAAAAGAGGTTGTACCTTAAGATTTTGAGGGTCCTGTTTTTTTCATCAGAGTCAAGTCTCGCATATTTTCCTTTTGTTTTGTTGTTTGTTTTTTTTTTTTTTTTTACAGACTTTTTATGTTCATAAATCATATTTAGAAATATCATTATGGAACTGCAATTGCGAGGCACTGAATAAGTAACAGTAACATGCACCAACACTGTCTCCTCTGAATCTTTATAGCAGTTTATTTAAAAAATAATGTTAAAAAAAAAAAATCTGGAATGCTCTTCACCCTCAATTGGTACCACGCAATTTAGAGCACTCCCATTTTTCAGCCATCTCCTGAGCCTGTCAGTGGTAGCAATCTGACTTAAAAAAAAGGTATGTTTGCAGTTATTTTAAATTTTTGAGACAGAATTTTACATCAAGTACTTCAGTACCCTTTTTTTCCTTCGGCAGGTCACTTTTACTAGTACATAACTATGAATTTAAACTCTTAAGAGACTTACTGGAATGGTTCAAAATCAGCTCACTGAAGTAATTTTCTAACGTAAGATCATTGCCTACACAGAACAAGCCCTTCCTCAACACAGTGCACTTCCCTTTTAAAATAATACCTCCATTCAATATATATGAACAATTATATTCTACATTAATACAAAACTAAGCTTCTAATAAAAGAGCTTTGCCAATCCTGAGTATGACAAGTTGTGTCATCATTGATAAGGAGTGTTATTTGCTTCCTCCTATGAAGTAATATGAAGAACACTTGTATCAATAATTATTGTTGGGTAACATTTAGAATTTATTACTTCCTGGTGACTCATCTCAAAAGGAAAACGTAGTGAAAACATCCAGACAGCCCAATGCATTTATCCTCACAAATTCAGAAGATGGGCAACACAGTGTGTCCATAATAATTTTAACTTGTAGGCAATAATTTTGCAAAAGATTTTCAGTAACAGGGAAAAACATCAATAAAGTGCAGGAATAAATACATCACAATTTGCCTACATTTTGACTGCAGACTGAAATAATTCCTGGTGAACTGTTGACTTTAGGTAAGTTAACTTCCTGTATCAGTAGTTAAATAAGATCTAAAAAAAATATTTGAATTCATAAGGGTCTTCTGATCTCTGACTTGCACTTCTGTACCTCCCCCAGTGTTCACGACAATGTGAAAATGTACATATTTCACACAGTGTGAATAAATACAACGCTCCCACCGCTGAACGCTGGGCTCATCTGTTGCGTACCAGTTTTCAGGATGTGCATTAAGCACTGATTGAAGCAAATAAAATGGGTCAGTGTACATCAAAATAATTGCTTCTATGGGTTATATTATAATTTTTAACTTCTCTGGAAACAAGTGCAGAAGCTATGCTGGGTGACATTTGAACAACTTTTTTATCCTTTTATGTAGTCCATATAAACAGCCATTAAGCAGCAGTACTCCTGTTTAGATGTATATTTCCCTTTATAAGTGATAAATGGTAACATCTAGTTTCACTTCTGTGATTCTACTACAGTTTGGTTTTTACAGGGTTGGACATTGTGGAGATCTGAAAAACATCGATAACTCAACCTGAGACTTTATGTCTAACTTCAGAGACAGTTGGGTTTTTTTAATGTTTATTTTTGTGTTGTTAAAGCATTATCCAAGTTTAAAAAATCCTTATTTATTTCATTGAATTACTCTTAATTTTAAATCTCGTTTAAAATATCAGAGCACCACAGTCCTTACATTGCTCAAGACCCAGACTTTTCCCTACCACCTTCACATCTCCAGAGCTCCATGCTTTTGAGGGACGTGGCATCCACCCCCCCCCCCCCATCCAACATGCCCAAGGATTTTTGTGACCCTCACCCCAACACAGACGCACACCACCTGCGAGTCCACCACTCAGGCAGGCAGGTCTGCTCTGTGATCTTTGGGAAGAGGGCCACAAGCAGATGGAAGGGAACGGGCAAGGGACAGAAGCAGATGAGATTAAAGATTTCCGAGTGTTAGTTTTCAAGGCCGTTAAGATAGATGCATAAAATTTAGGGGTTTAATAAGCAGAGGCAACTGTTCTGCAGCCTGAACTTTTAATTTTCAGCCAAAATTTAGTCACCTGCTTTTAGCCTAGAGGCCCTCCCCAGGTCCCTGACCGGCAATGCAGCTTTTCCACTCCTGTCACAAAGCTCTCCAGCACACCAGCCTTTATTCATGCCAAGCTCCAAGCCCGCAACTCGCATCCCCACTCCGGGTGAGCCCCTTGGTCCTCTCCCCGGGAGATTCCTCTTCCCCAGTCCTTGCTGTTCCAAGCGCCCTTTCGCGTTCCCCCTCCTCACGCTGACCCACCTAACGCCTCTCCTCCGGCTCCCTCCTCCCGCCCCGGCCCTGGCCTCCCCATCCCCCCTCAGCAAGCGCTGCCTGCCCCTGCCCCTGCCCCGGGCCGGGAGCCCGCTCGCCCGCAGCCCCGCACTAACCCATCCGCCAGCAGCTCCTCTAGCCTCCTTCTTTTCTTCTCCCTAAAAGAGAGAGAATAAAAGAAGGGTCAGTATCGCGCTACAGAGACCGGGGAGGAGGGAGAGGGGACCCCGGGGCCCACCCGTCCCCGGGAAGCGGGGGAAGGGGCGGCCGAGCACACACATACAGGGCACTTACGGTTCCCCACCTTCCGCCATATTTCCCTCTGCTTCCCACAATACCCCGCGGCGCCTCTGTGGGCGGTGCTTTGCCAGAG